GGGTGCAGTAGCGCGTGCCTGTAGTTCCAGCTACTTGGAAGGCTGAGGCGGAAGGATCGCTGGAGCCCAGCAGGTCGAGGCTGCGGTAGCTGGGAGCGTGCCACTGCTCTCCAGCCTGGGCGATAGAGTGAGACTCCAACTCAAAAGAAAAAAAAAGATTCTTATAAAAGAATACTATACACCTCCGGGGTGTTTGTGTTTGGGGCCTAAGGGCATTTCCTGGAGAGATGGCTCTGTTCTATGCTTGATCTAGTTAGTGATGGTTACCCAGCTAGTCACTTTACAGTGACTCTTTATATATGTTTTATACATTTTTTATCCATGTATGATTATCTCACAATAAAGAAAATTTAAAAGCCAAAGAAGAAACTAATAACAACTTTATACTGGCTAAAGTGATTAAGATAAAAACGTCCCATTTTCAGAAAATACCTGGATCTATTTCTAGTTCATCTAATCTCAGCAGTGGCAGATATACCTACATAAAATAGCTTACTTTTCCCACACTGGTAAAATTCAAGTCTACTGTCATCTAACCATGAATTTTTAATTTTTTTCTCCCCTCTCTGATTTGTGAAAATGATGCTGGGTGGCGTGGGGGTAGTTGTTCAGTTGAGTCCTTGGGTCGTGCAGAAAGGAATTTCAGAGTGAGATGCAGAGAGGTTTAAAGTAAAGTTTATTAGAAAAAAAAAAGACACGTTCAAGAGAACGCGAGTGTCCTTAAGGTAAAGGACACATCCTTTTTGTTAACAGAGTACCTTTATTGTATATTTCCAAAATGATACCTATTTCTAAGTTAAGCTTTGATCACAGGTGTTAATTCTTAATCATTTTACTTTTAAGTTTTGCCTGTGTCACTAGAAACTTTTGGGATAATAGAAAAGTTGCTCCTTAATTATGTTTTCTCTTAGAGCACTGTGCCTCAGTGGCTCCCTAACTCCCTACTGTCCTGCTCTCAGTCTTTGTAGCCAGCCACCCCATCTTCCAAAGTTGGACCTGAGCTTTGGTCAGTGTGTAGTTGTGTAGTTGTTCAGAGGCGTTATACTCTGATAAGACAGTCCCAGATGCCTGACACTCTGGTTTCCTAATTCTCCAAGCCCACCTGTGGGAAACTCGCTCTCTATATCTAAGCTAGCTGGCTGTCCTGCCTCAAAAACACTCGCTTTATGTCTACATCTCTTCCCCTTGAAAAATGAGACCAGTTGCTCATTGGTTTTTTAAAATCTGTGCTTTTTTTTCTTTTTGAGTCGGAGTCTCACTCTTTGGTCCAGGCTGGAGTGCGGTGGCACGCTCACGGCCACCGCAGCCTCGACCTGCTGGGCTTAGGCGATCCTTCCACCTCAGCCTTCCAAGTAGATGGAACCACAGGCATGCTCCACGATGCCCAGCTAATTTTTTTATATGTTGTAGAGGCGAGGTCTCACCAAGTTGCCCAGGCTGGTCTCAAACCCGCGCGGGCTCAGGCAATCCTCTCACCTCAGCCTCCCGAAGGGATGAGAGTACAGGCGTGAGCCACCGCGCCCGGCTGTATTCACTGGTTTAAACGTTGTGATTTGGGGCTGCCTAAGTAGTTCTAGAAGGTTTGACTGTCAGTTGCTTCCGATTTTCTGAGTTCTCTCGGTCCTGAGCTAGAAGAGGGAAAGGGAGGCGGTCGGGCGTGTTGGATTCAGCCCGGCCTCCCCCATCCCCCGCATCCCTCCCCCGCCCCATGGACGCGTCTGCATGTGACTGGCGCCCCC